TGGCTTCACTCTCACTGTCATTCAGCCCAGGGCATGGAGCACTTGCTTCGTTTTCTGTCGGTGAAGATTGTTTAAATGATTTTAAAAGGAAATGAAACTGAATCGTAAAAATATGAACTATAACAGGGTAGCTCTGCACAATTAACAATATTTCAAGAAAATATCAGTAATACATTTATTTTTAATATATCTAGCACCAGTATGAGAGTGAGATTGTATATAATTAAAGTGTACTGCTCACGTTTATCTTCTGTTGTAAAGGGGATGTCCACTTCTGCGCTGTCAACAACGTTAACGGCATGTTCCACTCTACACTTGTATTGACCGCCCGAGTTTTGAACAGAATGGATTGAAGGGCAATAAGATACCCCATGACCATCTGTGTCGACTGTGTCTTCTTCGCATTTAAGTCTGGAACAGGATATTTCGGTTCCATTCTTTATAAGGAACGTTTCAACAGGCTTTGGGCGGCCACCTCTAACATGACAGATGATGTTGGTGAAGCATGTGTTGCTGTTAGTCGCATTCAAGGTCACAATTGGTTCAACTGAAGAAAATTGGTTAAGCACAAAACTGTATTAGTTTTAAATTTGCCACTAAGCAAATTTTATGTATCCAATAAATAAGATTATTTTAAGTTATCAGCTGCTTCTCTTTGTTATAACTAGTATACAGGCAATTATTTATAGGCCTACTCACAACAATGAATTGTATCAAGTATGGACTTGTTGCTCAAAATAACCCCACTTACATTGTACCAGTACAGGGAGGTCCAAAAAGATGTTTCCACTTTTGATAAAGTAGCATTTTCTATCAAAAGGAAATAATCATTTTTTATGAACCTGTCTTACATGTAACAGGTAGACATGCGAGTTTTTTGTGCTGTAAGTTTCCTCGTACCGGTTTATCACTATTTTGCGAGGGGTCTGTCCCAAATGCGCAAAACGGCACGGAACAGCGCAATACACTAGGGAAAAAACGAGTTCAGATGCAAGTAAACGCAGGAAACGACCATTTCTAAGAAATAAGAGTGATATAAAACAAACTATCTTACTAAGTAATTTATATCGTTCAAGTAACTTAACAAATCTGTACATTTTGTTTGTGTCTGGTCTTCCGCCATGTTGCCAAGAAGAGTCACTCGCCAACATGGTGGCGACCTGACGTTAAACAAGACGTGTCGATTTGCTAAGTTGTACCAACGATATTAATAACCTAGTTGGAAATTTCACATTAATATTGTTGTGCGTTTGTTGAAATGATAGAAAGTAATTATTCTCTAATTTGAAAAATGCATGTGTGAGGTATCGGTAGATACTGCCCCTTTAAAGTGCCTTTTTAATTTAAAACTAAACAGGAAACTAGTCAAATGTAAAAACATAAAGCAGAAAAATGTCCATTTTCAACACTTTTTTACATAATACAAAATGAACAATTTACTATCATTTTTGTATGATTAACTAGCAAAATTTTTAAGATGGGAATAATATCAGTAGAATAATTGTAAGTGTCGGTTTTGCTCCATTCTGAGATTCTAAAAACCTAAAAATCCATTGACGGTATCTAGTGATCACGGTCTGTGCCCTGAATACTCTGCGGTGTTGAAACGCAAGTTCTGCGTCTGTACGCAAAACTTTTTGCAAATTTGTAAGCTTTGTCAAACCCAAAAACATGTAGCAGATCAAGGTAAAAGAGCATTGTTTGCTACTAGTAGCATGGAAAAATAATTAATTTCAATTTCTTTAATATTGATTTAAATCCCCTCTTCGAAAAATTGTATTATAACACCGTGCTATAAAGATCTACTCAAGAAAAAAATTGCTTGGGTAAAATTGAGTACGGAATAAACTGGAGACACTTGGCTTGTCATTAACTTTTCACGAAAATATGTCAGATAACTTTATACTGTCCTTGAAAGAGTAAAGACTCGGCACCTAAGGATCCTCAATTAACCGGTATATCGGACCACACTACCCGTTTTCAAGGTGTGTGTCAGATCGCATTTCGTATCAGTCAGAACACCGACAGGATAAGCCCACGCTCGGCTGTCACCTTGATTGGATAGTAAATGATTGTCGTAAAATTGCTATATGATTTTCAAACCGGGTGCATAAATTTGAAAACCATCTAGAACAACCTTGTCGGACAACTGTGACTCCTCAAGGAGATAGATCGATCCAAATATCTGTGGGAATGGTCTCTAAGGCGTATCGTTTGAACTTACTCACTATTTAATACTACAACGAAAGAGGGGCCCTGCAAAGATAGGAAGATCCTCTTAGAAAAGTCTACAACGTAGAACGAGAACGTAGATTATATAATTGATTTTCAAATTCCATACTTGTAGTAATTTGGTACTCATATAAGAGAATGTTAATCACACATTTAAGAGAAAACGTGAGTTTTAAGTTTAAGTGCGAGGTTTCTCTAGATACTGCTTCTTAAAATTGAATTTTGAATTAAAAAACAAATAAGCTGCATAAGATTTATGTGTGCAGGATTCGCAATAAGAGATAGGATTCGCTTTACAGATATTGGACCCCATGTTGAAGTTAAGCCCCCGCCACACTTATTCGGAATCAGCAGGAATCAAGAAGAACCAGCCGGAATGACTAAATTTTAAAATTCGTACTACATGGAGGAAGAAATTTCAAATTGACCTAAATTCTTTTAAGAATGCCGTTGGAGTACCCAGAATGCGCTTGAATCCGTCTCGGAATCCGGAATGCACTCGGAATTTTTAGAATGCTCTTTGAATATCCAGGAACGCACAAAAATTGTCTTTCCGACAGCATTCTTGCTCATTCCGCCTCTAGTGTGACGGGGGTATTACACGAGTTAGCGAGGTGTGGAACGCATTCGTACATGATGTAGTATGTCAAATACAACGCGACTGATTCTTTTGTTCTGTGCACAAGCCGTAGTTTAAATGATTTGGGGTAAAGTACAAGTATTGGTAGAGTACTAGTAAGAGTACTAGTAAGTATCGTGACAAGTAGAGGTAATTTAGATACAAGTTTTAGCTTGGCTCATTTGAAGGTTCGCACGTGGACTTGCATCTAACGGGACTTGTAGGTTTCTACCTCCCACCCATTTTTTTTTTTCAGATTTATAGAATTATTTATAAATTATTTATAAGATTTATTTTCAGAACAGTGGACTAACTAGTGTCAAATATGGCCGACCTATTTTAATACTTCCCCACGGGGAATCTATGCAATGTCTCTTAGCGAATTAGGTGGAAGCTTTGTAATGTGTCGCCATATTTGACCCTCGGACTAACTAGACCACTCTTCTTAATGCGGCTTAAGAGGGTTATCAGAAGAAACTTTGGGTAAAAGTCATTCAAGCCTGGTTGGTAAATGAAAAGTATCTTCTGTAAAATGCATTCGATCTACAGGGTATGTGGTAAATGTCTCGGTTCGATAGAATTTTAAAAATAAAAGTCTTGATGTACAAAGAATGCGCTTATGATTGTTTCAATTAAATTTTTTTTCAGTCGGATGATGGTCCGAAAGGATAATAGCATGAAGACTTAAGAGAAAGACGGGAGCATCTCCCAGAAGGAGGAGTGGTGATCAAGAATTCTACTCACACGATGTCAAGGATTCTTTCCATGGAGTTTTGAATTACATTAACGTATTCAAAATTTAAGACAATGGTTTTGCAGTTTGTAACCCAGTTATTTGTTTTTGAAGACTCACAGACGTTTAAAAAGTCTTAAATCACAGATATACTGTGAACGAGAACTATTCTTTTTTTCGTTGATTCAGTGGAGCAAAGCAAGTTTCTATCTTGCATACATATGCTTATTAATTTACAGAAATAGGTGCAGCTTTATCCATAGAATCGTTGATCTTTACCACAACACGCAATGTAATATCAGAAATAAAGTACACGAGGAGGGTGCTTCATCCCTTAATACGGTGTCTGAGTTAATATTATAAACATTTGTTCGTTTTAGCGTAGCAAATTAGAACGTAAAGACAAATATAAGGAAAATCTTAAGCTGTTGAACGGGATAAACCCATATGGATTCGAGACCGTCAAATGACGAAGAATTGCTACCAAATGTGACTTATCCAAACATCGTGATATTGTCAGAAACGATTTCAGCGTTCTTTTAAAATTAGTTGTCTATTAGAAAGTAATATAACTGTAGTTTAGAGAGTTAAATATTATATTTTGAAATCAACCATTCTCTGAAGCAACGTTGTTGCACAGTTAGTGTTTTATTAAGTTCAACCATTATCATCCAAACATCGTGAAATTGTCAGAAACGATTTCAGCGTTCTTTTAAAATTAGTTGTCATTTAGAAAGTAATATAACTGTAGTTTAGAGAGTTAAATATTATATTTTGAAATCAACCATTCTCTGAAGCAACGTTGTTGCACTGTTAGTGTTTTATTATAAGTTCAACCATTCATAAGAGCAACGCTTTTTTAACACACTACTTTCTTACATGTATATACAATCAAGTGCGAATGCAAAAATGCAAATGCAAAAAAAAAACATAACAGTTCATAAATTGATCTTCGTTTCTGCATTTGTTTGCTTAAACATATAGGAACATTGGACCACCTGTATGAATAAAAAGTAAACATCACAGGTTAACCATTGTTGACCCTACTAGTATTGCTCAATGCAATGAAGTATGCTTAAGCCACGGCTGGCACTTTGATCAATAGGATAATTAATACGCTTCGGTGCGTTCGAAGCGCCAGCCGCGGTATAACTACTCTCGGCATCGCCTCGATATGATAACGCTCATGTATGTCACATACAGTTGACGACTTGTGTTGTAACTAGTACATGCACCTTTATTTTTTTTTTTTATTGGATAGTCATAAGTGCGAAACCCACTGAAAAATAACAAGAAAACATTTTACTAATAGTTCTTCATTTCTGCATTTCATTTCAATCAGTGATCACAGCACATTTTGTATTGGTCATAGATTTTCTTGAACTATCCCTATCAGGCCATATGACCAATTGCAAGGTTTGAAGTGCACAAATATGCCACTGATAACTATTACGAGTAAATATCTCGAAGCAGTTGCAATGGACACTAAATTTGTATGCATTAGCCTGCCGTGACAGATTTCGTCTCAGTTTTTACAAGGTCATGATAAATATTTGGAATTTAAAACGAATGGCATTGCTTGACAAACTTTGGTGGATGACAATCATTAAACGAACAAATTAATGGAGTCCAGTAAAAGTGTGTGTTAACTTCTGTATTTGTTGCTTCATATAAAATTCAAGTCCCGGTAACTTCTGTCTGGCACTGGATTATAGTTTTCTGAAGTTCAGGTCCGACCTTCCAGCAGGTTCTTGAAGGTCCACTGTGACTTGACTGCAGAGATCGAGGGGTATTTTTGCTTCCGTGTACATCTGCTTTTTGTGTCGTTTTGCCTCCTCTTGTACCTGTCATCAGAAACTTTGGCGTTTTTTTGATAACTACTTGAGGCACCCAGTGAGTCAGTATGGTCTAGGTGGAATATCTATTTCCTTATTGTAAAATGATAAATGATAAAATTATAAAAAGTTTATTCATATTGTAAAATACACGGTCACAATTGAAAATTTAACGAACGGGACAAAAAGCAGTAAAATGCATTATTTCAAGTAGGGAAAACGCAAATTCATTTTAAGAGGTAATTTGTCAAAAAACACTCGAGGCACAATTTACCTGCACATAAAATCACTGTAACACAAAATCTAAAACAGCGTGAGCCAGCAACTTGCGTTTGAAAACTGATTTAATTGGCCCAAATAAGGTATATAGCTTTGAATGTACTGTAATTGACAACAATGCTAAGCAAGTACTACAATAAGGTATTGCAGGTATACTGTAGGTGACAGCTGATTAAATCTAAAGAGCACCTTAACTGATACCAAATAACACCCAAGTTCATATGTGAGTTTTTAAAATAAATCCTCTCGCTTTCTACCCAATTTATTGGGTACCCCTCTACTACAAATGTACTACAGTGTAATATACTATGCGCCCCAAGGGTATGCAGTTAGGGCTTTGTTTTTCAACTTTTTTCTCTATAAACACTTACAAGTCGGCTGTGTGGTGTCTTTATCAAATGCCTCAGCTATTTTAATAAATTATATTACTTTCCGAGAAGTTTTTATTCCAAACGGCTTCTCCGTCTCTTCTACGATAACGTTTTGGTCCCGTCTTTTTAGATTGTTACCTGCAAGCAGTCTAAAGTACATGTATGTTTTCATCTTTCGATTAAATACCCTGTAGTAAACCACCATATTTTCGGGGGTTAAATATTACAGGATATGTAGGGGACGATATTCGTTGTACTGTACAGCAGACAAAGGCTTTATATCTGCAATACGACCGCCTTTCCACAGTTCGATTCGAGCTCTTTATAGCCGAATCACTGACTACTCGGACACTGAAGTATGTCATGTACATGGAAATTCCACTGATCTCCATGCAAAGGTTATTCTTGAGGATATTGGGGATTGTTGGCAAAGACACTCCCATTTCGTCATAGACACTCTCATCTTCACAGAAAATTCAAAGGGGAAAGGTCTGGACTATATGCAGACCAATGTGATCCGTACGACGTTTTGTGATTTTCTCCTGGCAAGTTTTGTACGCAAGGAATTTCCTGCGTTAGATTGTAGTATAGCTCGGTAAAAAATCTTTGGTGAGGCAAGCCTACAAACGATGTGCGTCATTTGATATATGCTGTAAACTGCTTGTTTTCCTAGTGCTCACATTATGTTGTCGTTTTATTAACATTTATTTAGACCTTATTGACTCGATCAACTGCAGTATAATTATGAATTCATTTTTGTTGCGCTGATTATATGTATATACATACCTAGGGATGTTACATGACCGTGGCGATATGATGATCACTGAAGCCTGTCCATTGAAGCCTTTCCGAGGGCCACTGAAGCCTGTCCGAGGGCAAGCTCGAGCCGCTACCCAAAAATGTCTCGCTTCACTCGACATTTATGCTTAGCGTCTCTCGGAAAACTCGGATTTAACCTCGATGTAGTCTTGAATTTCACGACTACGTCTTGGTTAAATCAGTCGAGGTCTATTAAATAATGAAAGCCAAAGACAGAGTGATCGTGTGACCTTCTTGGCATCAAGAGAATAGTGACGTTGCTTGCGTTATATACCTACCAGTAGACAAATTAAAAATCTCTCATGCTCTTTAAAATTAGCATAACCTTTTCACGTTTAACAATTATTATTTATCATTTTATTACACTAAATCATATCGTATTTAAATCTCACGTGAATACAAATTATTTGTAAATCTATGACTTTTTAACGAGGGTTGTGTTATTTACCTTTTGGTTTTAAGCTGTTCATTCTTCCTCTTAATCAGATATATCGGTAAAAATCAAATGCATTCCCCCTTTGAACTTGTAATTACATGTAGCACATGAATGCTCTGAAAACCAGCACCTGTATATTCCGAAACCGCCTTGTAGTAAAAAAGATGTCACCAAAACGTAGAATTATAACTCCTGTGGACTTGAAATAAACATCCGTTTGATTTTGACTATATTCCGTAACCGCCTCGTCGTAAGAAATGACAATAAAAAACTAGAATAATAACTCCCGTGAACTTGTAATAAACATCCGTCGATTTTGAATATAGTCCGAAACTGCTTCGTTGTCAGAAATATCACCAAAAAGTAAATATCTTTCTCCTTTGCACTTGTGAAAAATTAGTTTGACTACATTCCGGTCCCACGCTCCTTATTTATCAGAAATGTCACTAACAAGTAGAGGTTTTGCCTTGGGACCTTGTTTCCGCAGCAGACCCAGATAGGTGTGGCTCAGCTGAGACGTGCATGGTCAGTGTCGACGGTTGATTAAATATTTCTCAAGCCAGTTGAACGTCCACGACAAGTATTTAGCAAAAATTGACCAAATTAGCCTTTTTCATCTTTTCCGGAAATGGAAATTGCATTGTGGGTAGGGGAGCCCTGCTACGTCGAAACACTTACAGCGGTGCTAAAAACCATGGCTGGGTTTACCTGCTTTTTGTCCCGCTACTACAATAACAGTAAGCGAGATCGACACATGAGGTTTAATAAGTTCCCAACAAACCCGTTAGAATGAAAAATATGGTAGAAAGAAAGAAAATATATAGCAGGTTTGGATCAAAAGCAGGGCACCGCGTTTGCGCTGATTATTTCGAAGGCGGGAAGAAAAACTATAATATCAGGAGATCAACGGTGCTTTAATAAAAAACAGAAATGCTAAGTTAACAATGGATATAACGAACTATCGGCAAATAGAACTCGGGGGTAAAAAATGCGAGAAAAAAAACATTATAAAGATTTGAGGAAAAAATTGAAGAATAGGCCGGGGCCTAAAAATTAAGAAAATACTTTAAGCATGAGATTATGGAAAAAGAAAGTAAAAGCTGTGAAGTTTTACACGGGGATTCTACTTACAAAAAATTCAAGAACTTTCACGACTTTTTGTGTAACAACAAAGAGAAGGTTTGAAAAGTTGTGTATGTAATATCCTTTTTGTGTGTATTTTATTGATAAGTGATCATTTAAAATGTTGTAGGCCCATCACAGGTTTTAGTCTCTAATAACCCTTAGCAGGGTGGGTTCTATTTTCTTTAACGTGAGACGTTAATAAAATTGTTATTATTATGTATTCAGTCCCGTATACGTATTAGGCCCTACTGATTTGTACATGTACAAACGGGGCTCATATTATCAAGATCAACAGAGACATACAGTACGAAGAAGAAAGTACATCGGCTCTTGTTGAACGCGTTATCGGCGAAATAAAAAGTGATTTATTTCTGAACTCAATGACAAGAGAATTGGAAAATACAAAAAATGCAGAAAAGCCTTTCTGTAAGCTACATGTATGGTAGAGACAAAATGGATAATAAACATAATCCAACAACGTGTTTGTAAAGTAATACAAATATGCTTAGTATTAAAGTACATGTAGGCCTACGTATACTTAACTGTCTTAGATAGTTGAAAAGTATGAAATGTGTGGGAAACACTTTATTTGAATGATTTCATTGTCTGTGATTGAAAACGATGAAAATACGCATGAAAACATTTTTAAAAATCAAATAATTTGGCCTCTTGCTATAATTTTGTTTTTGTATCAGTTTGACAAAATTTTCATACTTGTCAGACCGAAAGGCTGACATTTTTTACCTGTCGTAGATTTTGTACATATACTAGAGGACGTAAGACACGGTAAACTTTAATTATCGTCAGGGAAAGAGTCGAGAATTCCTGTCTCACCTATTTAACACTTAAAAGGTTTTAATTACAGAGGAAAGGTCGTAGTTGTGGCCGCCCGCCTTACCGAACAATTGAACAAGTAACACCTGATGCCTTATCAGGTACCAAACGATTTAATCAGTTCACCGACGAACGATCTACGTGTCAGTTTTACCTGTACACACAGTAGCTACGAGTCAAACAATGCAGGAAATCTTTTCATCTAATCACTTTAAAAATCTCTTAAGATATCCTTCAAACAAGACATAAAAATCGTAATGAATTGACACTGCCGGTACATGATGTGATATCGCCACAGCTTGCATATATACATGTACAAAATTGTGAAGACGTGGGCCTGCATGTGCACCTGTCCACACTCTTGAAAGCTGTGTACGAGTCTACTGGCTATTTTGATTTTATATATAAAAAAATAACGAGTCTCTTTCGCATATCTTTATTATCGGAAGCATTTAAAAGAACTCCGAGTGCAGCCAAGGCTCGGACGCTTAGGTGAAGTCTAGTTGTAAAGCGCATCGTATTTAAACCTAAGATCTAATAAACAGAAAGATTGGACAGCGGCATTTTCCCTTTGACCAGACGTTCGTACGGGTAAACATTGCTCTATTGTTCCCCTTAAGTTGTTTTGATAGCCGGGCTTAATTTTAATCCCCATTGTACCTAACCCGTGTTTAGCGAATAGCGTGATTTCTCGTGCATTCTCGCGGACGCCACATCGTCGTCAAGTAGATCCGCCATATTGGATAAGCAATGGCACACGTGGAGTTTTTTTATTAAAAAGTTCTAAAGATGTACAGTTTGTTTACATTTCGTAGTTGTCTTAATACTTTATATTCAGAGGAGGCAATACCCAATAGCGCACTACCTGTAACAACAGCTGCCATTTTATAGAAATTGACTCAACTTGGAGATATAGCCGGAAACGTGACGAGATCATCAACGTAACAGATAGTGATATTCGATGCCGTTTTGGACAATAAGGTCATGCTAATCACTGGGAGAAACTGAATGGTGAAGCTACACCAAAACAGAAACTTGATCTATTATGCCTGTTTGTAAAANTGTGCATTTTAACCCCGGCGATTATGATCAGCACCGCCATTTTGCTTTATTGCCCGAAGTATTGTTTAAATTTTCATAGAAAACTAAGCTACTATAAATTAAATTATCAACCAATAAAACGACAGTGTTATTCAGTCATCAGTAATATAAAAACCAACGTACATAAAGTTAAACTCCCCGTGTTAGACCTTAGGTAACAAAGCATTCAAACTCGCTTGTCTGTCGCCATATTGCTAATTTGAATGCAACAACGGATTGAAGGCAAATTTTCACGATAATATCTGCTCCAAAATATTGCATATTTTACACACAAGTGAACCCTGTTAGTTTTCCCTTCTGCACATACATTCTCAGAGAAACTACAAGACTAAAAGAGGTAATTTACCTACCTTGAAATCGCCCACATGCAACAGAGCTCTACCTGCGCACGATCACAACGCGACTGACTACTTCCGCCGTACGAACGTCTTTCCACAGTTAATCGGATTACCCTTTGAAGAATCGCCGAGTGTCCAATCTTTCTGTTTATTAGATCTTAGTTTAAACTGAGAAATAAAATATTTAATTGCTTGATTCTCCGTCCAAATAGCTGTTTCTTGCCTACAGTTTACGCATTTCTGTGCTTCAGCCACCTTTTTAGTTTGACAGAAAGCAATGCACGCTTCATACGACCTTTTTATATGCGCACCTTCTACATCATCTACACCTAGCATTGCCATGCTGGAAACAGCAGATGACCACTATGACCCCTGTGGCGCGCGGTTCCTGTCATGCGCACTAAGTATTTCCGCAAAAGATGAAAAAGGTTAATAGGTAAGACATTACGTAAGAATTTGGCGAGAGGTGACCAGCGCACGTGGACGAGTTTATTCCGTATAACATCTCTAGAGCGTGATATAAGGTCACTTTATTCGGTTTTAGGGGTGTTTTAGGATGAAATGACTGTATTTTTTTTCGGTATGTATGTCAAATAATACACTGTCACCCTCTCGCGATATATGCCATGAACACCTCTCGCTGACGCTCCAGGTGTTATGGCATATATCGCTCGGGTGACAGTGTATTATCTCACACTGTAATATCTCACACATACAGTTGTACACACACTGGACAATAGAAGTGTCACCCCCTGAATCAGAGTAATCAAAATTATAATACCTGATCTACTTATAATGTGAGTAATAAGTATAAAACCGCTGTACCATGGAATTGTATTGTTGGTCTTTTTGTGAAATTTGATGTTAATAAAATGATACCAGAAGCATATCATTCTACAGTCATTTATCTCCTCCAAAGTATTGGTTCAATAGGGGTGACACTTCTATTGTCCAGTGTGTGTATTATGTATTTTTTGGGTTTGCAAAATACTTTGTACTTCCTGCTTAAGTCGGAATAAACCATCTTCAATGTACCTATCTATCTAGGTTACCAGTAAATCATTAAAACAGGAATAGGCCAAGTTTGGAGAGCTGCTGTTATATGCTTTACTCGAGTACCTCCGTCTTTAGATCCCTAGTAGAGTCGGGCTCATCACCCGTCGTATGGACCATCCATTGTCTGCACATTCTCCAGACCTTTGGGTTTTTATCTATGGAGATACCACATATAAATACATATGTTTGTAGTACGTACTGTAGGTATGATTTAGACATTTTGTTTTTGACATTTTGTTTTTGTATGAACTGTACAATACGGTTGGGTTAGTGTTACGATTACGTGACAGATCACTTGAGTAGTATTATCAAATAGAAGGTGATGAGGAAAAGATTTTATGTAGGGTAAGCTCATACGAAGGATCTTTCGCGTTCCGCAATTATATATGTTTTTTATCACTAATGACTGTCTTTATGACAATACGTTAAACCAGAAATAAAGCACATGGAACGAAACGAGCGCTTCCTCCCCTAACACTATGTCTGTCTTTATTCTATAATTCTTTTATGTTCGTTTGAGTGTAACGAATTAGAACATAACAGTGTCTATGCCAAAAATCCCCAATTCAGGGATGCGCTCAAGAATAACATTCGAACTGAGAACAGTAGAACAACCTCTTTACATGCTTGACATTGTTATTACAAATTTCAGTGTTTGAGTAGTCACAGTGATTCAGCGCCAAGGGGCTTTGTTGGAACAGAACATGGAAGCAAAACATGAAACGGAAGATATTCAGCTTTGTTCGAAAAATGGTCTGTAAGACAGATCTAATAAAAGTTAAGTTTTATTTTAGATAGAAAGAAACATCATTTTGGACCACCCTGTATACACCATTGCTCATAAAGGTTGTCCCACCTCCAATCACACATGCTTTTATTTACAAATGATCACTTTGTTATAAACAGTATTTTTAGGCCATATACCATACATAACATGATTAATGATACGGGAAATACAAAACAGGGGTGACGATACCCATATTTATACTGCTCATTCAAATTTTTAACATGTACCCCTCACATCTGATGTTTCCCTGCCATTATCACAAGACACCACCAAATGTCACCATAATTTACACACAAATAGAATTAGGATGTGGTCGTTAAATGTGAAACAACATAAAATTTTTGAATCCGTTTCAAAATACAGTACACATTCTGCAAATACTGCGACGAGGAACTGCATCTTGGAAAAAAATGTCTATAATAACCTTCAAAAATGGATGGATACGTTCATGAATTTTAGGAAAATATACATGTTTTGTGGAATACTGCCCCATTCTTCTTAAAGAGTTCGGCGGAGTAGGTCTACATTATTACGGTTTTACAATTGAATGGACATTTTTTTACCTCTGTGGAAATCACAGTGAACATTAGATTTGAGGAGCTACACGTCATAAATTTTAATGGCATAAAATATGGATATTGTCACATTTGTTTTGTATTTTTCTGTACCATTAATCACGTTAGATAGAAAATCTACCTTAAAAACACGGTTTTTAAAAATTTACATTTGTGAGGGGATAACTTTTAAATAAAACTAAATGTTGAAAAATATGCCTTTTCTCTTACGTATATATTAGAGCTTGCAACAGCACTTTAAATACAGAATCAACCACAATGCTTGCATACTACATGTAACATATGCAAGATTCTTTATTCATACAAGTAACTCACCCGTTGACACTAAATGTCTTTGATACACTTGCATCTCATGCCATTTTTCGTCAATCACAAAACGACACTCGTACATGCCATCATCCGAACGTCCCTTGTTCCTGAACGAAAACGTAACATTAATGTTGGTTGGACCTGGTACTTGAACTTGCTCTGGGTTGATTGTTAATTTCATTCCTGGATCGCATTGGTTTACCTCGCCGTGTGCCTTGACCCACTGACAAAGTAGAGCATCGTTCTTTTTTATCATGACGTTTACAGACGACCTGCCTGCATTCTCCCCAATAAACAGTGACCATTGGAGTTTGGCAGTTCCATTCTCAGGCACAAACACGTTATTTATGCCATCTTGCAATGTCGTCGCAAAATTACTACCTGAAAATAGGTTTGATATCGCAATTTATTTTGTATATATTTAAACGGGTGTGAATGCGCGTGGATGTTTGCACAAAGTTCATCAAATATGTAGATTTGAAATCCATCAAAAATTATTTAAAAGCTTGGTATAGGGCTTTATATTATACACTCAATTTACATAAGAAAAACAACATTGCGTAATCCTTGGGCGATCCAGTTATCTTAACAGCGGGTCAAAAAGGAAGCAAGATGTCTTGACATTCAAAGTTAAGTACTAGCAAAGGTGTTTGAATCTTTTGTGTACCGCCTGACGTTGTTGTGAGAATATGATGGTCGAGCGTTCTACAATCAAGAGAAAATGTAAGGCAAATGAGTTGTCCGATTTTATCACTACTGAGCTCTATCTACATGCAGGACGCAGCATTGCGTCCTAGATTCTGTCATAAGGTACCTGTACATGTATCCCAATGTTGCTACAGTCTACACCACATTTAATTTGGGCGTCGTGCGATGAAATCTTATGCAATTTTCATTTCGTTTATTATTAATTTCTATTGGTATCTATTTTTGACATAATTAAACCAAAACTACCCTGTCCGTTTTGAATGAGGGGCAAATTGTCACCAAAACGCGTTTTTCAAGGCTCTTAGCGAACACCAAACTGGTTCCAGCAGGTTAAGATACCAGATGACCTCCGAGGAGTGGCAGTGTCAGTACTGGGAGAGGATACCACATTGGTGCCAAAACACCAATCGTAGTCATTGCTGAAAACCTATACCAGATCAATAAAGAAATAGGCTGGAAACCACTTGACTATCATATGATAGGAGGCACCTAAGGATCAATTTTATGTGGCAAGATAACTTACAGAACCAAGGGAATGAGCAGCTACCCTGGTCATCAAAATTGCCATAATTGAACCACATGGAGAATATGCCGGTAGGTCATAACTCGCCGAATCAACGGCCTGCATGTCCTACAACAAAATTGAGCCAAAACGGACAAGTTTTAACCGTTGACAGGAATTTTATTTCAGATTAAACTCTAAAAATCTATCATTAGGAATACCTTGCGGCTTGAAACCTCTCGTAGCAGCAAGATAAGGTCAAGCGTAACTGCGACTGTTGCTTTGACTAGACAATGTCATGGGGGTCTTTGTGGGACGTGTAACTCTTTTAAAGACAATAATAAGGAAAATATTGAGATCCAGAATATTCAATGGTTGTCGTATGACTTAAAATAGGCAATGTATTTTTATTTGCTTCACTGGCGAATTTAATTAATGGTCTGATGTCACAATGACATTGAATAGATTATCAGAAGTTATTAAAAACGATTTTAATCCTAATTTTCATTTATCAGTCAGCAAAATAGGAAAAAAACTGATGAATTATGATTGGAAAATTATTCCATATTAAATGTCTGTATATTTTTTTTTATTTTTTCAATTTTAAACTTTTATACAGTAAATAAAAACAAATAAAGCAAATTTAAATCTGTTTTACGTTTCATTTTGCACAGTTTTTATATTCAGTTACAAAGTTTGAGAAAGTTTTTAGAATATATAACAACACTTTTGTATATTATTTACACATTTTATTGTTAAATGCACCCACTTAATTAGTATAAGAAGATGCAGGTTTAATTTAATCATAAAACTTGTTCTCAACTTCAAGTACATTTTTCCATTGCCTGGTTAAGAAGGTTTTCCAAATTACTTTCTAAGAAAAGGCAGTTTCGTGCCATGTTTCGTGTAAAATATTTAACTGTTCCTTGACACCATATCGTCTTACTATATAAATGGATATATTTTTTTAACAAATACATCGCACATCTAAAAATAATGACCTGCGGCAAAAGACGCCTTTTTTGCCAGTAGAGAGGTCAATTCAATTTTGGAAATACCATTGATTTCAGCTTAACGGATATTATCTGATAGAACGATTCAGGAGCCTACCAGGACATTAATTATTATTATTATTATTATTATTATTATTATTATTATTATTATTATTTAAATCAAGCAGGTCAATCAAAAGTCACAAAATTGACAAGAATGCGATTCAGTTACAAAATTTGGAAAAAGGTCTTATATATAAACGTAATATGTAACAGTTACAGCTAAAGTCGCCAAATTGCTCAATCAATTAAACAAAATGGGTATGATTTTTGAAAGGAGTAAAATACCCATATTAAATTTTGAATGAATTAAACTACGCCAGATATACTTATTTCTATGGCAACTGTTGCTAAATGTCAATAGCAATCGATACTTTTTAAACTATTTTCATCTTTCAAAATTACTGTCAAAATGCTACTTTTAGATAGAAAAAGATGCGTAAATAATGGTACATGACATGACTTCTAATTTATTTGTTACGATGGAAATTGTCATCATGGGATCAGCTTTACACATTATCATGAATTTTTTCAACTACGTGCAAAATGTAAGACACTATTTTTATCGATCATGTTACATCGATCTAGGGTGGAAACCTAGTCGAATAGACAGAAAAATGCTTTGCGTGGCTGTACAAGTACCCAAACCCCTGAAGTGAGAAAAGTAAACGGGTATGGGCTATTATCGGAAGATTGGAAACTCGTCTTACAGGTAGATAATGATAGCTTAGTTAGCTTACCATGCTGGCTATTTACCCTGTGGCTTGTGTGGCGTCACTAAGCAATGTGACCTAGATCTGTCACTTCATGTTTGCATATTGAGGTGGAGTGATTTAAAACGTACTTTGTTCTACTAATCAATTAATTGTTTTAAAACTGTTTGTATATATGCTTGTTACCGCTTTAAACAGTGTACACATCGAGTACCGCTCCCCTTAAATTCGAAAACTGCAGTTACAAGTAACTCTGTTCATTATTCCTATTGGAGGGGAAAGAAACCAACAACAACTACAACAACATGCGACAATTGCATGACCCCCCCCCCCCTCTTCCGGCCGTCCAATTCATGCGCGAGAACTGTGCAATGTCATCCACAGGTACTAGTACATGTACATGTACATGGATAAGTTGAGCTTTGCCCACACTCGCAAGGCCTTCGTTTATTCACCCAAAGACTTGTATTGTATTTAAACCATTCAAACATCATACAATCCCTTCGCGGTCATGACCTACAACACCACGCCAACATGGTAAATAGTCCGTTTTAACGCAGAATGTAAGCAGGCTACAAGTATGCATGTGCCTGTGTAAGTGACCCGTACAAATGTAGCACAATCAACTGTAATGCTTACATGCATTAAACAGAACTTGGTCACACAGGCGACTTGTGCAGGTTTGGAATGTTTATTCTCTAATAACAAAACATTTTTGAAGCGAATTCATAGGCCCAGCAGAGGAAATTCAGGCGAGTACATAGAGAACAACAAAGGAAAAGACTTGCGAAGATTCTTTTGTCTATAGCTGTTTATATTAGTCTGATCTTACCATCCAATATTTCATCTGCTTGCAGTCAGATTTCATCAGGGAATGAGGCTGTGACAGGTATGACAACCTGTCACCCCCTCTGGTGTGCTATTTGGTCAGACCCCCCCCCCCCCTGCCTACCCCTCCCTTAGGGATAAAAAATCTGGGCCCGTATTCCAGAATCTCTCTTTAGCGTTAAGGGAGACTTAAAGTCGACCTTATACAACATGTTTATTCCAAGACCTTTCTTTATCTCACTTGAAAGGAATCACTTAACAATCATCCTTAGCAAAGGAATCGGTCATTTCTAGAATCTGCCTTTGCTTAAAGGTTTCCTTTATTTTCGGCCGAGGATTCCTTAAAATGTAAGGTTGGTCTGGAGTAACTTTTAGGCCTCCTTAAGCAGCCAACGTGTACATTTCTCTTGTGAAAATCAGCTCCATTGAGGACTATATAAACCAACATGCCTACCTAAATTCAAAATCATTAAATTCAACTAGAAAAGCATTCCGAGAGCAAAGTCTCTACCCAATTTTCATTCTATAATGATTTAGTTTTTTGATTTTTGATTATTGATTGATTATTGATCCAGATCACCACCAAAAACGAATCATCTGTTCCTTGGCCCACTTGTGTCAGTTTCTGAAAATTTCATCACAATCCGCGCATAACTTTTTGAGTTTTTTGTGATTATTGATTGATTATTGATCTTGATCACCACCAAAAACTAACCACTTCTAAGATAACCCATCTCTGACCTACCCTGTAAATTTCATAAAAATCGGTCCATAACTTTTTGAGTTCTTTTTATTAATGATAATTGATTGATTATTGGTCTTGATCACCACCAAAAACTAATCACTTCTAATATTACCCATTTCTGACCTACCCTGAAAATTTCATCAAAATCAGCCTGTAACTTTTTGAGTTATGTTGATGACAAACAAACAAACGGGCAGAGAGACAGGCAGACAGTCAGACAGACAAACAAACAGGGGTGAAAACAACCTCCTTGGCGGAAGTAATACATTTGATCGAGGATAGGCTTTTCTCTGTTGACTAGTTGCATCAGTAGCTGCTTTTTCTATATCAGAAAAGGGTCTACGACATGTCCATATGCGCTGTTGCATGACTGAAGTTGATCAGTGGACCCCAATTATAGCCTACAATATTACTGAGGCATTTTTAACGAGGAGGGTGTCACAAAGGCCTACTCTAACCAATAAGGAGCTCCTTTACGTCAGTATCCCTTACCTAAAGGCTGACTTTTGTCAAAGTAATTCCTAATCAAAGGAGAGGACAAAGTGTGGTCTTAGAATACCATTTCGTTAGGCCTTCCTTTACCAAGGAACACCTCATCAAAGGAAGTCTTTATAAAAGTTGACCTTAGCCCTATTTTAAGGATCGTCTTGGAATACGGGCCCTGCCCTCAGCCAACACCAAGAACAGACAGGGCATTGTATAACATCAACAACCATAGAGGACATAAAAATCTTGGAAAGAGAGCCACGAGACCTACACCGGAAAGTGCTTGAAGCAATTAACATCCGCTTATATGGGGCAAAGTTGAATAGGAATGATGGGACTGAGCTACCCAACCTCTACCTACCACTCCCAAGGGAGGGGCAGGCAAGGGGGGGGGTCTGACCAAATAGCACACCAGAGGGGGTGACAGGTTGTCAAACTGTCACAGCCTCATTCCCTGATGAAATCTGACTGCAAGCAGATGAAATATTGGATGGTAAGATCAGACTAATATAAACAGCTATAGACAAAAGAATCTTGGCAAGTATATTACAATAACATAGCTAATGAAACTGTTCTAAACAAAGGAAAAGTGTTAACACTTCTTGTGTATTCCCCGTGTAGGTCTTTTACTACGACTATTCAGACCATTGCTTACATACAGAACTAGTACATTGAAAATGGCGATATTCATCTTACCTAGTATAACTAGTATCAACCAGTAAGCTTTATATTTCTCCAGTTTGGTTCTGTCGTTAAGGTGAATGGACAGTACTGTCAGCAAATCTACCATGATATACATATACAAATCTAGGTCAAGGTCACCAAAGCAATGAAAATAAGATAAAAGGGGTGATACACGAGGTGTTTAACAACGTTAACACACACATAAATTTGATTTTTAGACGTGCGTGCCTCTTATTTGGCAATATTTTATTTGGTTTTATTTTTTAGGTTTAACCTCCTCAGAATGAAGGCTAGCTTCTCTACTGCAATTAGGTATTCACACCCTACTATACATATCCATGTGCATGTACTGCAAGTGTGCTGTCGGTATGTGCACATTTATATAATGATTCCGTCAGACCGTATCCTGATTAGGTCAAAATCACTGGCAAATGTTTCATTCTCTGTCATATAAATAACAATTAGGACTTTTTAAGTGAGCTAATTGAAGGTCAACAAATGTCAATACCCAAACCTTGCACTACCAATCTTGTGCCATTTCTCGCCGTTTTTATACACGTATGTATACTATTCAACAGAAAATGCTATCAGATTAGCACTAAGCGGAAAGTTGTTATAAGCAGCCAGATTACTTGAAATACAATCCTCATCTATTTAGTACAGCACAAAGGTATTTAATGCCGCACAACACGTGTATACCAATGTTCATAAAGAAGTGAGACCAGAATACAATATATAACTGTAAATAATAGAATCAATGCAAATTGTCAACAATCTGCTAATGCATCAAACAACTGAACAAACAAACATGTACATGGGAACACAAAGGCTATTAGTGTTATCACCATAGTTTTTATCTTCTCTTTTCCTCTTTCCCGTTTTTACAGTATTTCACACTGTTTCATCTTAATGTATATTGCACTCCTCAGTTTAAACCTGTCTTCACATATGCATTGTGCCGTCTATGCATCAATTGTAGCAGCCCTAAATGAAAATAATCAAACACTAGCCGAGATGTTTTTGTTTTTGTACCGTAAGCTCACAGCCAACCTGAGCGAGGGCCTTCATCAGACTGATATAAGTAGATGTTGACAAGCACCGACCGCTAGGTATAGCAGCCAGGACACTCTAATAAATGTCAAGTAGATCGTGCCCTCCCCCCAGGACCCTATTCATGGGTTGCTGGTGACTGCTGATGTTGATAGCCTCTCGTATCTTACGCGGGATGTCGGATGACTCAGATTCAAGGATCTTGGTTAAATTTATGTAGCCAAATGTTCACAAGCACAACGAAGCTCTGTTTTTGCTCCAAATTAAGTAGGATAAGTCCATATGACTGAAATTGTCATTTATTAATGACGACAACTAATAAGATACAAAGTTACAAAACTGGGGAGATAATAAACATCCCCCAAACTATATAAGTGCTAAATATAAAAATAATAAAGTATGTTAATGAAATGTAACCAGGATTAATTATGAAAAATATGAGAAATCACAACAGCTATAGGAGCAAAAAGTTGGCGCAAATGAAAATAAAAGGCTTATGAAAAATATGAGAAATCACAACAGCTATAGGAGCAAAAAGTTGGCGCAAATGGTTGGCGCAAATGAAAAGAAAAGGCAAAAGGCACATTCTAAAGTCGGCCTAGGCTGAGAGCGAGCTACGCAACCCCTACCTTTTTAGGACGGGGACGTAGGTTTCCTCATTGCTCTGACAGCCCAATCATAGAGTTGTCTCTCTTGGCCTACGTACTGCCTCATATGCCCTGCATAGTACATTTACCTAACTATAGTTTTAAAGTAATAATCTCACATGTATGATATATATCAATAAACAAATGATAACCAGATAATCTGAAATGACTAATTAATGTGCCAAATGAGTTATAGCTAACAAGCATAAATACAACCATGTTACATTGAGCCAATGCTCAAATCTGCTTCATTAGTCATGGAAAGAGAAAAAAAAATATGGGGGGGGGGGGTTGAATAAGTTTACCAAACATCACCTCAAAATTTTTACTCCTGAATAATGCACTTCTTAATGTTGTGAATTTTACGAGAAAAGTGAGGGAGAGCATTAACTGTCTCCTGAATAACTGAACTCATATGCCTCTGATTAGCAGGCCTACCAGAGGCAAAGTGGCACTGTCCAAATAGGTGCCCCCCTTAATTATGTCACACAGGTGCCGCTTGAAAGTAAATAAGTCTAAGTGTTAAAAACACCACAAGGATGAAGGCAGGTGGTAGGGGAGGGTGGAGGGTGTACAAATAACAATAAAGAAACGTAAGTAATAATACAGTGTAGCTGCTAAAACTGCGGGTAAATATATCCGCAGCTACAAAGCTGAATGACTTCTCACTGAATGCAGCTCGATGGAATTAATCTCCAAAACATCTTTCATAGAATATACTTGTGTGTGCCTTGATACACAGCAGCTAAGACATTCCTTAACCCTGGACATCTGTTAACACCTTGTCTTGGTCAACTACTTAAGGTCAAAACGTGCAGACACAAGACCCAAACAAAACGTTGATGTATTACCAAAAAGTTAATAGCACCACTAAAACAAACCATTTGCTACATAAATACAATTAATTCTCTTAATTGTAGTTTTATGTAGCCAAATGTTCACAAGCACAACGAAGCTCTGTTTTTGCTCCAAATTAAGTAGGATAAGTCCATATGACTGAAATTGTCATTTATTAATGACGAAAACTAATAAGATACAAAGTTACAAAACTGGGGAGATAATAAACATCCCCCAAACTATATAAGTGCTAAATATAAAAATAATAAAGTATGTTAATGAAATGTAACCAGGATTAATTATGAAAAATATGAGAAATCACAACAGCTATAGGAGCAAAAAGTTGGCGCAAATGAAAATAAAAGGCTTATGAAAAATATGAGAAATCACAACAGCTATAGGAGCAAAAAGTTGGCGCAAATGGTTGGCGCAAATGAAAAGAAAAGGCAAAAGGCACATTCTAAAGCCGGCCTAGGCTGAGAGCGAGCTACGCAACCCCTACCTTTTTAGGACGGGGACGTAGGTTTCCTCATTGCTCTGACAGCCCAATCATAGAGTTGTCTCTCTTGGCCTACGTACTGCCTCATATGCCCTGCATAGTACATTTACCTAACTATAGTTTTAAAGTAATAATCTCACATGTATGATATATATCAATAAACAAATGATAACCAGATAATCTGAAATGACTAATTAATGTGCCAAATGAGTTATAGCTAACAAGCATAAATACAACCATGTTACATTGAGCCAATGCTCAAATCTGCTTCATTAGTCATGGAAAGAGAAAAAAAAATATGGGGGGGGGGGTTGAATAAGTTTACCAAACATCACCTCAAAATTTTTACTCCTGAATAATGCACTTCTTAATGTTGTGAATTTTACGAGAAAAGTGAGGGAGAGCATTAACTGTCTCCTGAATAACTGAACTCATATGCCTCTGATTAGCAGGCCTACCAGAGGCAAAGTGGCACTGTCCAAATAGGTGCCCCCCTTAATTATGTCACACAGGTGCCGCTTGAAAGTAAATAAGTCTAAGTGTTAAAAACACCACAAGGATGAAGGCAGGTGGTAGGGGAGGGTGGAGAGTGTACAAATAACAATAAAGAAACGTAAGTAATAATACAGTGTAGCCGTAAAACTGCGGGTAAATATATCCGCAGCTATAAAGCTGAATGACTTCTCACTGAATGCAGCTCGATGGAATTAATCTCCAAAACATCTTTCATAGAATATACTTGTGTGTGCCTTGATACACAGCAGCTAAGACATTCCTTAACCCTGGACATCTGTTAACACCTTGTCTTGGTCAACTACTTAAGGTCAAAACGTGCAGACACAAGACCCAAACAAAACGTTGATGTATTACCAAAAAGTTAATAGCACCACTAAAACAAACCATTTGCTACATAAATACAATTAATTCTCTTAATTGTAGTTTCCAGTGGGCACTGTGGCCGGTGTCTATTACATGTTCAGAAATGACAGAGTTGGTATTGCCTACAGTCACGGATTTTCTGTGTTCACTGACCCTGGTCTTCAACTGTCTACCTGTCCATTAAAGTCATGGCAGTTGATCCTGTATATTGTCCCACAGGGTTTTGCCGAGTTCAAGAAAAGGAAGATTAAAGGATGGTATGTCGGGGGAAAAACTCGTTTATCTCGTGAAAATCCATTAAACATGAGTATTTGGCGGGTAAATCCTGACTTGGAATGCTTTAATCTATCATCATCATCAAGGAATACACCTAACAGGAGGTTGTGATTCTTCGCAAGGTGCATTGTTTTCCACATGCACAATGCCAGGAAGCATTTTTACTTGTCCGATTCCGGAGTCAAGTCTACAGGGCAGGTGGATTTCTCCGCCCCCGGCATCTGAAATATTTACGTTTTGACGTCAGGCGTGCATGCAATGATTGTAGTATGTTTGCACACAGAAGAACCAATTCATAGGAATGACTATACTGAAATGTCTCGAACTTCTTCGCCATGCATACATTATTGTTACCTCTGCCATTCTACATCAAAGCTTAGTTGAAACAAAAAACGAATGCAGTATCTTAACAATCTATACAATGCGTTTATTTCACATACATGTATGTCAAACTGAAATGAATGAAGCTTACCGTAGGTTTTCATGTGTTTCTGTCTTTGCCATTTTAGTACATGTAGGTACATACAAGGTATAAACAGTGTACATGTAAGTACCACCACAAATACTATGAGGACAACGATAATTCTACCAAGTATTTCTATAACATACTGGTAGAACAGTATATTGGCTGCACAGACATTCATCCCATGACATGGAGCACTTTTTTCATTTCCTGTCGGTGACGATGGTTTAAATGGTTGAAAAAATTATGGAATAGGTTACTAAAATTAGATAAAAAAAAGCGTTGCCTGTGATAATTAATGATATTTCAAGTAAATATTAGTTTTACTTTCGTTTTAATATTACCAACACCAATATGAGATATAAGTATTAGTAGGTACAGCTATTATTATGAAATTTAATCTCCTCAGGTTCACCTTTTGTACTTAAGGGGATGTCCACTTCTGCACTGTCAGCAACATAATTGGCATGTTC